TTTTTAAAACATATAAAATTTTTTTTATCTTTGGTCCACAGATTTTTATTGTACATTTTTTTTAATGGGATGTTCCCAAAAAAAAAGGCTTTCCCCAATTTAAATTTTTTTTTTCAACAACCCTAGTTTCATTTTTTATATTTTGATTTTTTAAACATCTAAAAAACCCATTTTTTTTAGGGCAATTTTTCCCTTTAACAAAAAAAAAAAAAATTTTTAACTTTTTTTTTAAAAAAAAATTTTTTTTCCTTTAAAAAAAAATTAAAAAAAATTAAAGGGAAATAAAAGGCTCAAAATTTTTTTACAATTTTTTAAAAAAAATTTTTAAATTTTTTATTAAAATTTATTGCAACAAAAACAAAAATTTTTTTTTTTTAACATTTTAATAAACGAAACTCTCAAAAAAAAGGGGTTATAAAAATGTTTTTAAAAGGAAAAGTAATAAACATACGCTCTTGAAACTTAAATCATAAAAATTTGAGAATGTTTCTATTATTTTTATTATGTTTTGCAATAAACCCTTTGTGTCCATCATATCAAGCAGTACTCTAAAAAAAAAAAGAAAATTCGTTAATTCTTGGCATTTTGAGATCCCCCGTATGGAAGCATGATGGTAAAATTTTTTTTTCTTAAAAATATAATGTACAATATAGTATTCTTCATCAAATATAAAAGATTTTAAAAAAAGTCTATGGAAGTATTAGTATAATTTGATTTAAAGTGCCAGAATTGGCATTTTCCTATATAATCCTCTTAATAGTAAATGTACCTATATTTTGAGACAGACCCTTAAAATACATGGACGGTATATTTTCCCCAAACTTGGCATGTACACTGAAGTTAATATAAGTTGTATATGGTAAAAAAATTAAAATTTTTCCCTTTTGTAGTTTTAAAAAACAATAAACTCCAGCCGCCCCCCTTAAGCACACATTTGAGACACTCTGATTCAAGTTCTTTTAACTGTAAATCTAATACAGTTTCAATTCTAAATTCATTAAAGGAAAAAGGACGGGGGGGGGGGGGCTCTGAAGTGTTCTTTTAAAATCTGTTTTTAACCTTTCAAGTTTCTTCAAATTAAACGTCTCCTTTTTTGGTCCATTTCTGAGGTTGTTGTTTGTATTTTGGACACTTCCTGGTGTAAAATAGGTGTCTGAAAAAGGAAAACTAACCATGGGTCACAAAGCTGGTTTGATTAACTTGTGGGCCGTTTTTCCCCCCAATATATCCCTGTGAAAATAAAAATGAATTTTTTCCTGCAACAATATGTTTTTTTAACAATAAACCCTGAATTCCGTTAACCCAGGACACCCGGGCAAATTCTTTGGAATTGGCACATTGGGTTTGGAAAGAATGACGATGTGAAAAACTCGCAACACAGAGTCAATGAACGATCTTCGATCAGAAAAGCTCATTCAACGTTCAGCACAGGTAAGCTAAAAATTGTAATTTTATTAAAAATACCAAAAGCGGGTCTACAGTGAATTAAACACAAACAAAGATTGGGTTTTTTGAAAACATAAATTTTTTTTAGACTATCACAATTCATTTTCATATTCAGGAAACATGTGCTTTAAATAATATCTTTATCGTTTACAATAAAACATATTTTAACCCTATATAGGGATTTAAGGTTTTTAATCTAAAAAAATTACCTTGTTAACATCTTTACGTTTTGGAAAACACGTGCAACCGATTTCTTTAAAAGCCGACTACAAAAACAACAGACATCCATTGTTAATTGTTTTCAATATCAATTTCTTTTTGACATTATACCTTAAAATGGTCATTATAGACAGGGCACTTCACACAGCAGGAAAAGCTTTGCAAGTGTCAAGAATGAATCATTTCATGGAACAGATTTCGATACGAACATTTTCTTTTTTAAGAAAAATTACAAACCTTTCCCAAAACTTGAGAAGTTCTTTTCTGTGAATCTTGTGATTTTCTTTAGCGTGTTTACTACAAAAAGGACTGTTTTTTTTGTTGAAGAAGCTATGTTCAGATATGAAGAAATGTTCAACATCTGCGCAGAATTCTTTTTCTTGACAGAAATAACCAATAGTATATTCCACTTGTTTGTGAAATGTCGTCGTGAGAGATTTCATCATGCTTTCAATGTTTTTGGCGTATTTTTAGGGTAATATTACCATCAAGGTTACCCTCACGGCAAACAACCTGAAGCTGGATGGATGGCTTACAAACACCAAGAACGAGAACATGATCTTCATCTTCTTTTTTAAAAAAACTGCATCTTTGCAAACTAAAGGTACATCATCTTGAACCAGAGTCTGCCATCTTGTCATACAATGGACAACAAGTGGTAAAAAAAAGAAATGGGGGAAGAATTTTCTTGAATCGGAAAACCAAAGTGGACGTTTTGTTTGTGCAATTGCAAAGTTCTTGTCATAGGCATCCAATCTACTCTCCTTGTTCATACAAGGTACATAGTGGTATATTTGTCTTGGTTTGTCTCCTGTCTCCTCTTGTTTTACGCAGAAAGGCGGTTGGATTTAGTTCCTTGCGTTCTTTTTTCCCCCATCACTATTAGACCTAGCCTTTGCATAAATAGTAGAATTGTACTTTTGTGTTCAGCAAAGCATTTGTATTTGTGGTTTGACCACATTTCATCCAGAAGCCGACCCCCCAAATTTGGCCTGTCTGGTTGAAGAGCATCCAGTCGCCGACGGTTGGAGATGCGTCTTTAACTTGTGTTGGGTCGGTTTTATGTTTTTAAAAAGCATCAAAAAACCCCCAACATCCAGAAAAACCATTTTATTTAACCCTTCCTCGTTGAAAAACAGAATTGTTCCAATCTCGTGAAAAAAAGACAGCATGATGCGCAAGTTTTAAATCTTTTTCAGGAAGTTCGATTCTAATGTTTTGTTTAAGTTCTTCAATGCTTTTTCTTTTTTTTCTGTTTTCAATTCTGACAGGGATTTTCAAACATAGCCCACTTGGCGGGAAAACTCTTTTCCCCAGTGAGTTTTTTTTGGGTAGCGACTTCTACAATGGCTTTTCCTTAACTTTTTTTTTTTCTTTTAGAGGTGGAAGTTGAATCTCAAAGTATCGTTTCTGTGGGAGGGTGTTTTAATTCGGAGTCTCTTGGTAAGCATTCCATTAATTTGTCATAAAAACATTCTGTCTTGCCCAAAAAAAGCGATGAAGTAAGAAAAAACACACAATTATCATGCTACCCAATCAAACAATAAAAATATTGATCGGGGGAACACAGACTTCTGCAAACAGAAGTAAGGTTACGAACAACATATTTTTTATTTTTTTTTTTACAAAGTAACAAGTGTTCCTAGTCGATCGAACTTTTTTGATTCCGTTCATAAACCTTACATTACCCATTTTATGTGAAAATGTAATGTTCCATCTGATTTTACATCACTCAATAAATTTTAATTGCAGAAGATTTAAAACGTACGATGTAGTATTTAAATATTAGAGTACTTTAAAGTGGTTTATTGAAAGGGAAAATACACTAGTGGCATGTTTAAAGTAGATGATTGATCTCATTATATTTCTTGTTCTTACTTCTTTACTGACTTTATCTTTGTGCTTGCAACCAAATTACAGGCGTTATATCATCACAGTAAGTGTTGATAGACTGCATCCAGTAAGGGAAAATTCTAAAAATAATTCTGCGTTTTTAATATTTCTGTTTGCTTTTAGAAAACCTACACAAGACAAAAACTCCCACTCAAAATTTGTTAGCCCTGTATGTTTATCTACACAGTTATAAGTTTCTATAATCTTTTATTACAACTATATCTTTATGAAATTTATAAGAAATATGCCCCCATGAATGAAATAAATGGCACTTAATTTTTATTTTGGTTTCCTTCATCCAATGTCACAATATAAATACAACGTATTTTTATGAATAGAAAATAGTCTTAACCTTTGTATGTCCAATCTTCATATATGGACCCATTTCGTCCCAAAAGGTGGATCAACCTTTTCTTCCAAACGTTTTAATGTCTATTACAAGAATATAGAATGCACGTCTTGTAAGGTAGACTTGATGACAGGCATAATATGAACACTGACCGCCAAAGTCAGTTACACTGATCAGTTTCTCTCTTTTCTTTATGTGTCTTTCAACATCCCAACATTCCCTGTGGTACTTCTGTAAAAATAATTAACCCTGGGTTCCCTTTTTTTACAATACATGCCTACACAGCAATTTGTGTCGATGAAGTATATGATACTAGTAAGTAGTAACATGATAAAAAAAAAAAGTTTAAAGTAAAAAATTAAAAAATGTCTTAAAACAGGTGATAAAAAGGAATATACAATACAAAGGAAAATTAGCATCATTTGGAGACAATGGTAAACCATTAAGAGTTTTTAAATGAAATGTTGATAGATTGAAGTATATGTCAACCTTTTAGCCATTTGTGGTCTTCATTATCCTCAATTTGGAACATATTATGATGAACTTTGAGCCCTACAGTTGACTCAGTGGTGTATAGGTCCCCTAAAGTCCATTTGGATTGAAGCCTTTTTAGGAAGGTCGTTTTTCCTGCCCCCCCCACACCCAACTTTTCATCCTCTTCCCCCGAACATTTCAATGCTTTCTTTACTATTTTTCCAAAAATTAGGCGCTGGGTTTTATTCCCACTGGGGCCCCCGGATTTTTCTTAAAAAAACAATCAATGCTAACTATATTTGGATTGAAGGAAAAAAAGGTGGGGAAAACAAAAAGAAATTGATCTCAAATCATCACATTTTCATTCCAAAACAACTTTGTTCCTAAAAAATTTTTTGTGATTTTTACCAATTTTTTTTCCATAGGTTCTATCCGCTAAATGTACTTACATATTCGGCTCACTAATGGATGGATATTGGTATTTGTAATAGTGGGATGTGTGATTATACCCAAGTCTAGTTTTACAATGAGTTTCTCGGTAAAAATGCTAAAAAAGACAAATACACCATTTTTCTTGAGAACCAAGATACCCAGATGTCCTGCAGTACTTTGCGATAGGTCAACTGGGGTTATCCAAAAAGGAAATGGAAAGTTTTTTTGAAAAATAAGGTTGAATATAAGCCCAGAGACTCTGTCTCTCAACTTCATCAGAGGTAAATGACAACTGGGTCCCCGTACAAATCATGCTATCATATGTGGAGCAGTCAGATTTTATATTATCTGGGATAGGTTCTGCATCTGGACCTTTGGTGAAGGCGTCAAGTCCTTCAGGAACACCCGAGTGATCCTTGTTTTCCAGATCCACGCAGCCTCCTTCGCAGAAGAGAAGCCAGAAATGGAGGTACCTTTTGATTGAGTTGAAACCTATCCTGCTAAACAAATCTGTAAGACAATTTTTAGACATACTACAATTTCTTATTTATTACAATTCGTTATTGTCGTTTTCAACTAACTAGTAAGTGTTTAGTCAGTAGCCAAATATCTTTTTGTTAATGCATAGGACAAATTTTTTTAGACATGTTTTATTTTTTGCTATATATTTGACTATTTGTAAAAGTTAACCATATTCTTGTCGTTCTTCTTGTCCCTTAAGGTGAGTACAATCTTGATCCTGTACATGGGGTTCTGGGATCATGACGGTGTAGAGGTCAAGGTCACTAGTCGCAGATTCAGAAGTTGTGTCTGGTTTCAAATACAGCCAATCCCAATGGTTTGATAAAGGTTCCCCAACATTAACGGCTGAAGGACTTTTGAGGCGTACAGGAGTTATTCCTAAACAACAAAAATATATTTAAATTTTGATGACAATTTAATTTGATGGTAACTCTTTTATTAAGTCTGAAATGAAAAAAAAAATAGATTGGGAGTTTTCGTTTACAAATTTGACAGTTGATTAAATCTGATCAGAAAGACCTTTTACTTTCTCCTTTGCCATACTTCCCTCTCTAAACATTTCAAAGACAAGAAGATATTACTCCAGTTAAAGTCAGTGACGTTTTGTCAAACTGCTGTAAATCATTTTATTTTCCGGAAACCTGTAAATTTTTGAGAGATAGCTATTTGATACTTATTAATGAGACAAGCTTTTAACAAGCCATAGCTTTTGTTGCATATAATTCTTAGAAGTACAAATATACGCGTTAATGACATTTTCGAGAGCAGACAGACACAGGTAACTCAGGCGCGGATCCAGAAATTTTTCAAAGGGGGGGGGGGGGGGGGTTGAAGTATTTTTCAAAAGGGGGGTTGAAGGCGAAAACACTTAAACGTACGTTGTACATATACATATAGTTAAATAACTCAATAGAATATCGATACAGGGTGGAGTATAGTTTTTGAAAGTGGGACGTTGATCAATCTGGGAAAAAGTACTTTTATACATTACCAGAAAGTTTTTGAAGAAAGGAAAATAAATTCCCGAACCTGAAAATCCTATGGGGTTTTATTTTGTTTTTACAACTGCATTTCTTTATATATTACAACATTAGCCTTTCACCTTACATTTTCTATAATAGAAACACAACAAAAAAATTGGAACTTTCTTATTTCTCTTTTTGCAAATCCAAAGGGGGGAGGTGCAACCCCCGTAACCCCCCCTCTGGATCCGCCACTGTAACTCTCGAAAAATAAAGTTCTCGAAAAGAAAAGGATGTACGCGCGGTTAAATAGCTAAGCATTTTTAATTATAATAATAATATATTTATTATAGTGACTTGTGTAATACAACAAAATATTATAATATATCTCAAATATAAAGATTGAAACATTACACCCGGCTCTTTGGGCCTATAAGTCACCTGTATTTAAATCATACATTTCCTCACGGAAATATATAATTATAATCTTATCATAAATGCAATTATCTACCATATCAGTTTCAAATTTAGACATTTTATGAAATACATGCAGTATTCTAGTACATGTAACTTACCTATATGAATAGGCCTGCTCACGACAGAATGTCCTAACGACGTTCCCATACATGAGTATTTTCCACTATCCTCCGAGGTCGCACCATTGATAATCAGCATGGGCGTGCTGTCTTTTCCAGTTTTATATTTCTCTCCGTTAGATATATCAATGGCTGATTCATTTTTGGTCCACATAATATTTGATAAATTCGAGTTCCATGGTATGAATATATACAGTCCATTCATACATTGCCTAATTGCGATGACTAAATAAATGTAAAAGAAAAGAAACAATCTTGTGTTATCAAAGATGAAGTAACAAAAGAGTAGCACATTGATAAAAAAAAATGTCAGTCCTTAAAAAAATTCTAAATCTAGCCTTATGTCTCCAGCTCTATAAACAAAAACAGTAAAAATTAAAATTCTAATTCACAGAATTACACTTTTGTTATTTGATATACTCCATTCATATAACCTCCGTCCTCAGCCAACATGTCAAAAAAAGACAATGGGGGCTAATTAAGCTACTTATTTGTCTCTGTTTATGATATCTCTCAGAACGACGTGATAATTCGTCATTATCATTCTTTTTGCAAATTATGTGCATTGATGTAGTGTTATGTAGTACATATAGGTTATAGAAGGTCACATGTCAAATTTCTAATTTTTATGCTTAATGCAAATTTTTATCAATTTTCTAGTGCAATTTGCTTCAGAAAATATAGACATTAATTTTGTCTGTCTTCCAAGTTTATATTTTTTATGCAGTAATATATGAATCCATTGTGACTATAAAAATCTAAGATAGGCAAGTCTATGCTCTACTTTTCCTGAGTTGAAATCAATCTTTTTTGTGTAAAAAAAAATCTCACCTAATTGGCTGCTACTGGGTCCTTTTGTTGTTACACTACTATTCACATGTGAATGCAGCAACGGTAGTTCGAAGGCAGTGCCCTGAGTTATTTTCGCAGTTTGTTTTCTTCTCCGGCGCCGTATAAAAAACGCAAAACCGCCAACAGCCATGACTAGAAATATAAAAACTACGACTATGATTACGTAGAGATCGGCCTCTGTGTTCTTCGTCAAGTCGTCAGTTGTGTTACGTGAATTTACGTCATAGTGATATGTTGATACGGAATGTGACGTTGAAACACCTTGCGTGACAAATGACGGCTGTATCGTCGTCAAACTGAAATATGAAATGAAGACTTCATTTCTTTGATCAAAAAATCTGTTAATGCAATAAAACAAGAAAAGAAAAGAAGAAAGAAAAAAATATATGTAGATATAAAAGGAGGACATCTAAAATGTACTTTGTGTAAAAGAGAAGATATAAAGGATTAATTAAAAGGACGTATGCAACTCTTATAAATACTCGTACAAAAAAATAATTAAATACATGAACCCAGGAATATTGAGGAAAAAAGGACACTGTATACCTCGTTGATTCTGTACAGTTTGGATCTGCACGGTAACAACGATGTATGGTATCGATATTTTGGCATTCTTCAACTGAAAAAAAGTTCAAATAACGATTAATCCACTTTCTCTAATGCATTCTTAGTATTTACTTCAATGATAAGCTTTAGCTACACATGAGATTTCGTTTCGTAGAGGTGAACGATACTCATACTCATATTATACGCCAACACGTGCTGAGTTGTTCTTGTTGTCTATATTTTATATTTCGCTGAGTATATTGTATAACTAGTTTGCTCTATTAAAATTCAAAATGATTTCTCTAAGTGTATAGTTTACGTACACTTGTATATTGAATTTCCGGGAAAATGCTCAGTTGGGCATCCGGAAGTGAACAGTGTGCAGCTGTCTTGATTCAAATATCCAGCTCCTGCCAACTGCAAACAATTTCCTATAACAACAAAAAATCAATACATTGTTGATTTTATGAGTATTTGATTATTTTTACCTGTGTAACTTCTTTCATGAGTTTAGAAATCAGAAATGGGGTATTTTGCAATTTTATTGGTAGTTGTGCATGACGTTATCCTATAAGTTGAATTGGTGTGGGCCTGTTTTATTTCGAGTTGAAGATAGGTGCATTTTGTTTCTTAGTATTTGCAACATTTATATGGGGTTCCATTCAGTTCGAGATAAAGAAATGTTCATTTTTTTACTTATTGAATATCCATATTACTTATTAAGGAAATATGCATTAGCTGTAATGAAACATATGGAGATAATGAACCGTTTTAAAGATCAAAAGTCCATACAGCAATACTAAATAGGAGCCGAGCAAACCCCATAACACAGGTGTGATTAAGTGCCATGAAAGAGTGAACATCCCCTGCCCGCCGTTTGCTCCTTGACATGATCAGGAAATAACGGGAAAATCCGTCGTTAATTCAGAGTATAAATATAATGGAGAAACATAAGTTTGAAAAACTTCAGTCAGCATTTGACTCTTTGGTAATTTGTATTTGCTAGACAGGTCATTGTACAAGTGTATCATACCTAGAACTTACAAAATAATGGCATTATAATACACGAAACTGCTGATATTCTTGTTTTATCAACTAACTTGCTTGTCAATAATTTACCTCGTTTTTAGAAATTGTGCATACGTATGCTCTTGTGCATCATATCAGTTGAGATATATAAACTCCGTATCCAGATGGAAAATGTATGTTGCTACATATGCAAGGGAAGTTGAAGGTAGTTAAAGTTATCACGTTTATCATAGAGCTTGGTTGTAAGATTAACATTAACGGGTTTTTTTTTTCAAGTAAAATATCCAAATATTAAAGAAATGTTTCAGACTCGTTTGTTCCTTTTTTTTCTCAAGCTCATCAGGATATATCGTATCGACATAAGAATGGAAATAACCATTGTTAATTGACAATACGTCATGGATATAATTAAATGTCAAGTTGAAGGCCACAGCAAGTGTTTTCTTCTTTTCACTCACAAGATTTTGCACAAATTCTGCTTCATATGAATACAAAAAAAAATCTGCTAATAATGAGGCACATGGCACCCATTGGAATTCCATAAGATTGTTGGAATACCTGGTCTCCAAAAACCACATAGATATTGTTAATCAGAAACTAAAGCATCTTTTTGGTGTCAAATTCAGAGTAGTTGTTGGTACAATCAGAATTGGTGGTGGTGTAATGATTTATGTTTCAAATTTAATTAAGGCTAGTCGAAGAGAAGATTTAGAACCCGTTGATACAGATCTCATTTGGATAGAAATACCACAAGTAAAGGGAAAACTACTTATATGTTGTATTTATCGTCCACCACACACTAATGGTGTCTTTTGGCAAAAAATATCTTGGTCATTTGAAAAGGCTTGTGATATCTCTAACAATATTGTTGTACTTGGTGATCTTAACGTTGATTTTTTAAAAGTTAACAACTCACATGAGATTCATACAATTATGAATAGCTGTAGGTTAACAAATATTATACACGAACCTACAAGAATAACTTGCGATACAGAAACACTTATAGATCCTATCATTATTAGTGACAATATACATGTACATGATTCTGGAACATTACAAATTAGTAATACAGTTAGTGATCATAAAGCAACTTATATATTCACCAGAATACAAATGTAAATGTGGCATATAAACGTAAAATTTGGAACTATAAACAAGCAGATTTAGAACTCCTTAATGATTCTATTGTAAAATGCGACTGGAATAGCCTTATTGATGATACAGAAAACATTAATACTGCTACAACAAACTTCACAGAAAAATTTAACTCTATTATTCATCAATGCATACCTGAAAAAACTGTTACTATAAGGCCAAATGATAAACCATGGATGGACTCTCTTAAAGAAAACCTTCGTATTCGCAATAGACTAAGAAAAATAGCACAAAAAACAAAAAGAGAATCTGATAAGGAAAACTTTCGCAAAGAAAGGAATAAGTTTAATAATATGAAAAAATATGCTATTAAAAACTATTATGACAACATAGATTCTCATCTTAAGGATGCTAGTCTGAACAATCAAAAACTATACTGGAAGTTACTGAAAGATACTTTTCACATTAAACCAACAAATGAAATTCCACCTGTTCAGTTTACAGACAACAATGGCACTGAAAGTTTTGCATTTTCAGACATAGAAAAAAATAGAACTATTAAATAAATATTTCACATCAATTACAGAGTTAGATGACAGTAATCAAGAGCTCCCAAATATAGTGTCAAGATGTACGGATAATTTTCCACACATTGAAATACAAGAGCAAGAAATCATTGATATAATTTCTATTATTCCTGTCAATAAAGCCGTTGGTCATGATTGCATCAGCCATAAAATGTTAAAATCTTGCAAAGAAACTATCTCAAAACCTTTGTGTATGCTATTCAACAAATCCCTATCACTAAAAACATTTCCAGACTGCTGGAAACTAGCACATGTTCTTCCACTTTTTAAGAAAGATGACCCTTCCATCACTTCAAACTATAGACCAGTTTCTTTGCTGAGTTGTATAAGCAAAATCTTTGAAAGAATAATTTTTAAGCATGTTTACAATTTCTTGCATTCACATAATATATTTTATAAATACCAGGCAGGTTTTTTACCAGGTCATTCCCACAGTATATCAACTCTTAAACATACCATTCTATAGTAAAAAGTGCTGATGAAGGTAAATTCTGTTGTTTGGTGTTTTGTGATTTATCAAAGGCATTTGATAGGGTCTGGCATAAAGGCTTAATTTACAAATTAAAAATGTATGGAATTAATGGTGATAGATTGTTTTGATAGTTATTTAAGCAAAAGAACCCAACAAGTCATGTATAGAAATCATTTTTCCTCTGTTGGACAAGTAAAAGCTGGAGTTCCTCAGGGCTCAGTACTTGGTCCCCTATTATTTTTATTGTATGTAAATGATGTGGCTGAAAATATGATATCTCTTTGTAGACTATTTGCTGATGATAATTCTTTACAACAATGTTCAGATAATATTAATCATATTGAACAAAATCTTAACCACGATCTTAGAATACTAGATGACTGGTCAAAGAAATGGTTATTGAAATTCAATCCACAGAAAACCAAAGCAGTATTTTTTAGTTTGAAAAATATACAGCATTTTCCTAAATTATTTTTTGACAATTGCCAATTGGAATATATTACGGAACACAAACATCTTGGGATACTTCTGTCGTCTAACTTAGGATGGTCTGATCATATTGATACCATTATAAAGAAAGCATACAAAAAAATTAAGGCTTCTTAAAAAATTAAAATTCACTGTGTCAAAAGATATTCTGTCCCAAATGTATATATCTTTTATTAGACCACAACTTGAATATGCTGTTGAAGTTTGGTCTGGATGCACAAAAACAGACATTGAGAATCTTGAAAAAGTACAATTATATGCTGCAAGAATAGTTACTGGGCTTACAATTATTGCTTCAAGAAATTCATTATATTTGGAAACAGGCTGGGAACCACTGGAATATAGAAGAAATAGGGCAAAACTAATAACAATGTATAAAATGCACAATAATTTAGTCCCTATTTACTTGCAAAACTTAGTACCTGATACAAGAGGCAATATTTCAGGATACACTACCCGGAATTCTTTAAATTATTCTTTACCAAAATACAGATTAGAACTCTACAATAAATCATTTATTCCCGATACTGTTAGAAAGTGGAATTCCCTAAGTCTAAGAACAAGGGAGGCAACTTCTATAAAAATTTTCAAAAACTATCTTCAAAATATTAATGCAAAAGCTCAGACATACTTTTCTTATGGAAATAGGTTTTTGAACATAATTCGTACAAGATTAAGACACAATTGTAATTCAAAGTCTGATTTATATCGCTGTAACCTAATAACCAGTCCTAATTGTTCTTGTGGACTACTAGAAGATACATATTATCTGTTTTTTGTTTGTAAACATTATGTAAAAGCAAGAAATTCCTTAATGAATAAGCTATTGTCATTAAATTACTTACATATTATAGATGTACATTTAATACTATGGGGTGATGATTCTTTAACTTTCGAACAAAATGCTGAACTTTTTAAGACTATTCAAACTTTCTTAAATGAATGTGGTCGTTTTTCAAAATATGTTTTTTCTCACCATCTCAAATTATTTTTGTATATTTAAAGAATTAATTCCTTTCTATTGCTACAATGTATATAATGTATATAGTAGACCATATGTATATATGTTGTTTTACTTTGGCAATTTTACAAAATGTTGTAGTAGGAGAGGACTACGTAAGTTTCTGAACTTGTGTCCGGTCCTTTTGACTTTGTCAATAAAATATATTCAATTCAATTCAATTCATCAGAACGTTTTAACAAAATGATTTTGCAAAAGACCGATGCCAAGGTAAGTAAAGAGAGTTCCATTTTTATTGGAAAATCAGCTGTCAAAGGTATCAAAAAGAATGTAACTAATTAATTCCCAATTAAACAATCAAAGAACGCATTAAATAAATAAATACTAGTAATCAAGAAGAAAAAAAATCGTACTATAAAATATAAATATCCTTGTACCTTTGAAAGTAGAGCCACTGGTCTAAATTCATTCTATGCATGTGGTATTTTAGTGGCGTTTACAACTGATTTATAAACGCCCGGGTTTTCTTAATAATATTCAATGGATGTAAATATTATTAATTGAAATATTATCCTCTGCAAAACATTTAAAGCTCCAAACAAAAGTTATAAAAAGATTTTCCGGTCTCAACCGAAAGTTTTTGTAATATTGGAATCTTGTATTTTCCATCTATGTACGTTAATTTTTAGGGTGTATTTCAGATGTTTTCCTTTTTCTGTTGCATAAAATGATTACATTATATCAATGTCGACAAACTCTATCTGATTAGTATCGCTACCACTTGTTTTTACCAGTATATATAAACAGCAATTGGTTTTAATGAAAACATGGATCCAAAATGCTACTTTTTTAATAAAAATTATTTTCTATTACCGGTATATGTATACATATGTATGTCCAATGTTTTGTTTTGTTTTGTTTTTTTTTTTTTTGAACATATTTTATTGACGAAATGTCAAAGGGATTGGACACAAGTTCCAAAATTCCTGCAATAAATCTTTGAACAATACCATTTTTTTTTCATTTTCCTGTGAAGATAAGGAATCATCTCCCCATAGCAATTAATGCACATTAATCATTTTTTACATTTTGAGTTACAAGTATTCATCATTAGGCGTCTAGGTTCAAAATTTTTTCTACAAACAAAGAAAAAATGATGACTATCCTCTTTCATACCACAAGAACAATTTGGATTACTTATGATTTTACATCTATACAGATCATTATTTAAAATACAATTGTGTCTTAATTCGGTACAATGTTTTTAGGTAATCAGGAGCTAGGTTGTTGTGGATTTTAAACATTGTTAAAAGTTTGGCTATGTCTCTTCTTCTTACAAGAGGTTCCAAACCTGTTTCAATATACAACGAATTTCTTGATGCTAATACTGAAAGACCTTTCCAATGTGCTACTGGATTTAAGATTAGAAGTGAACATAGAACTTACCACTTTCGAAAAGCGAAGGTTCCCGATCATAGCAGAACTCTACATGGGACGACTTCTGGTAGTTAGGAATGCAGTAGTAAAAGTTCGTGTTTGTACAGTTTATTTTCGAAGCCGATTCTTCTATAGATGTCAGATTCTCCGGACAATTAAGAACGTTATACACAGGGAATCTATACATATTTCTCACTCGCTACTAACCATAGATATCACATTTATTTTTTTTTTTCAATAATTTTCATCGGAAGGCCAGTGAGAGAGGATTTAGGTTAATGTATTCACGAAAACATCTACTTACTCGCAAATTTTACGGATCTAGTTTCGTTTTCTGCAAAAGAGATAGTCTCGTTCAACCTATAAATAGCTATTAAAATTCCCTGTTTTATTTTTTCACATTCTGGTTTGTTTATATGGTGTAGTCTATTTTAAGGCACATGACATTTTGTGTAAGTAACACTAAAATATAAAAATACGATCATGCACTATTACAACTATACATTTAACCATACCCAGGGGGACTGAACTATAAATTATCCGTGTTCAATTGATCAAGGATGTACGAGGATTTACTTTATTCCTAACTGCAATAATGCAGCCCTCTACAATTTCTTATTCCGATATTTTCTGGAGAAGGCTACCCCCCCCCCCAAAAAAAAAGAGGGAGTGGGCTACATTATTGCAGCTACTTTAATCTGAAGTCAAAGGGTAAAAGAAATACAACCCGGAGTTCTCCGTGTGCAACCTTGATGTTTTTGATTAAATAGGAAATCTGTTATCTATGTCCAAGCGATTAACCTGCATGGATCAGGAATTTATTTCTATTTAATCAAAAGCATTCTCCGTTAATTGAGGCTAATCAATCGTATGCACATTGTTCTATTTTTTTTTAATTGCAAAAGTACCATGGTTTCACAATTCTTAGCAAAGTCAAACATTTACTGAATTCAGCCAAAAGTCCTTGGTTTATTCAATAAAACAAAATTCTGCAAAGTATTCCAAATCATTAAACCTTTATAATGCAATTAAATTATGCATGAGCGTGTTTTATAGAAATGCTATCAAGATCAATATATTGTGAAAGTCATAAGGATGAAGGTCCCCCTTTCTAGTCATTACTTCTGTATGACTGACTATTGTTTTAGGCAATTAAATGAAAGCCATATTGTGTATCTTCAGTGAATGGATCACCCATTATGCATTGAGAAAACTTATTCTGTGAAGGCTGTACATGTAAATGCTCTTGCTTCTCCTTTCATTCAATAAACTTTCCTGTTCTACTGAACAATCGGATATGAAATTGAATCAGGATGTCTTAGATCCTTTGCTTTTAAAGCAACTTTTAATATCATTTAACAATTTCTTTACACAAAGCACATATTTGTCAAAACAAAAGTACACTTTTAACAGTTTTTTCCCTAGAACAAAATGCACATTCTTCTTTGAACCTTTAAAATACATCTCCCTCAGAAACTGAGATTCGTGTATTTGCACAGATTTGAATACTGATGTACTGCAGGGCTCATTGCTAAAAATAAATTCACACAGCTTCCAATGTAGGAGCAGTATATCATGACAGTAGTTCTTCATCTCTCTTTCTCTGTTCCTTAAATAAAACAGGACAAAAATAAACAAGAGGCCCATGGGCCATATCGCTCACCTGAGAAGCTTTGACAATTCTGTCCTTTACTAGATTTACCCCTTGTAATACATATTGTGACCCCACCCTACCCCACTGATCATAATTTAGACAATTTGAAATCTACACTACCCCAGGATGCTTCAATATAAGTTTCAGCTTTTCTGGCCCAGTTGCTATTAAGAAGAAGATTTTCAAAGATTTTTCCTATATATTTCTGTGTAAAACTTTGATTCCCCATTGTGGCCCCGCCCAATCCCCGGGGGTCATGAATTGAACAATTTAGAATCTACACGATCCAAAGATGCTTCCACAAAAGTGTCAGCTATACTGGCCCAGTGGTTCTTGAGAATAAGATTTTCAAAGATTGTTTGTATATATATTTCTATGTAAAACTTTGATTCCCCATTGTGGCCCTGCCCAATCCCCGGGGGTTATGATTTGTATAATTTAAAATCTTCACTATCCCAGGATGCTTCCACATAAGTTTCAGCTTTTCTGGCCCAGTGGTTCTTGAGAAGAAGATTTTCAAAGATGTCTCCTATATATTTCTTTGTAAAACTTTGATTCCCCATTGTGGCCCCGCCCAATCCCCGGGGGTCATGATTTGAACAATTTAGAATCTACACTATCCAAAGATGCTTCCACATAAGTTTCAGCTTTTTTGGCCCAGTGGTTCTTGAGAAGAAGATTTTCAAAGATTTTTCCTATATATTTCTATGTAAAACTTTGATTCCCCATTGTGGCCCCGCCCAATCCTCGGGGGTCATGATTTGAACAATTTAGAATCTACACGATCCAAAGATGCTTCCACATAAGTTTCAGCTTTTCTGGCCCAGGGGTTCTTGAGAAGAAGATTTTCAAAGATTTTTCCTATATATTTCTATGTAAAACTTTGATTCCCCATTGTGGCCCCGCCCAATCCCCGGGGGTTATAATTTGAACAATTTAGAATCTACACTATCCAAAGATGCTTCCACATAAGTTTCAGCTTTTCTGGCCCAGTGGTTCTTGAGAAGAAGATTTTCAAAGATTTTTCCTATATATTTCTATGTAAAACTTTGATTCCCCATTGTGGCCCCGCCCAATCCCCGGGGGTTATGATTTGAACAATTTAGAATCTACACTACCCCAGGATGCTTCCACATAAGTTTCAGCTTTTCTGGCCCAGTGGTTCTTGAGAAGAAGATTTTCAAAGATTTTTCCTATATATTTCTATGTAAAACTTTGATTCCCCATTGTGGCCCCGCCCAATCCCCGGGGGTTATGATTTGAACAATTTAGAATCTACATTACCCCCAGGATGCTTCCACATAAGTTTCAGCTTTTCTGGCCCAGTGGTTCTTCAGAAGAAGATTTTTTAATGACCCCACCCTATTTTTGTCTTTTCTTGATTATCTAACCTTGCAAGGGGATATGTCCCTTCATTTTAACAATTTAAATTCCCATTTACCCAAGGATGCTTTGTACCAAGTTTGGTCAAAATTGGCCCAATGGTTCTTGAGAAGAAGTCGAAAATGTGAAAAGTTTACGGACGGACAGACAGGCGGACGGACGGACGGACGACGGAGACAATGTGATCAGAAAAGCTCACTTGAGCCTTCGGCTCAGGTGTGCTAAAAATGAAAGTGAATTCTATAACCACAATCTCTGTCCAATTTTTACCAAATGTATACTTGTATATTTGAATTTTCACATATCAAATGATCGGTACATGTTGGATTCTTGCTTTTGAAAAGATTTTGAAAACAAAAATATTACCACGCAGGCCTCTTATATTGCCTATTTTATAGTAAATATCTGAATCTAAGCCAAACACAGAGATTTTATCTTATAATTAATCTTTACAATTATAGTAGATAATTGGAAACATCTCAAGTGAAATTAAGTTCGTTGAGCCATTCTAGAGAAATTAAACTAGAAATCCTCAATTATACAAAACTTTCATAGCTTACTTCACTTATTTTCTTTCTCTTCTTAGTCTGAATTTCCTCATCTTCATCCAGCATTTCCTGTAGTTTTCTTTTATACCTGAAAGATAAAAAATAAATCATAATTTGTCCATCCTTTTTCCTGATAATCAGTTCCAATAAACATTTATAACACCACATTCAAACAAGAGGCCCATGGGCCACATCGCTCACCTGTGAAGCTTTGACCATTCTGTTCTTTACTAGATTTCCCCCTTGTAATACATATTGTGACCCCACCCTACCCCACTGATCATAAATAAGACAATTTGAAATCACACTACCCCAGGATGCTTCCACATAAGTTTCAGCTTTTCTGGCCCAGTGGTTCTTTAAAGATTTTTCCTATATATTTCTATGTAAAACTTTGATTCCCCATTGTGGCCTCGCCCAATCAACGGGGGTTATGATTTGAACAATTTAGAATCTACACTACCCAAGAATGCTTTCACATAAGTTTCATTTTTTTTTGGCCCAGTGGTTCTTGAGAAGAAGATTTTTAAAGATTTTTCCTATATATTTCTAAGTAAAACTTTGATTCCCCACTGTGGCCTCGCCCAATCCCCGGAGGTCATGATTTGAACAATTTAGAATCTACACTACCCAAGAATGCTTTCACATAAGTTTCAGTTTTTTTTGCCCAGTGGTTGTTTAGAAGATTTTCAAAGATTTTTCCTATATATTTCTATGTAAAACTTTGATTCCCCATTGTGGCCCCGCCCAATCCCCGGTGGTCATGATTTTAATAATTTAGAATCTACACTACCCAAGGATGCTTTCACATAAGTTTCAGCTTTTCTGGCCTAGTGGTTATTAAGAATAAGATTTTCAAAGATTTTTCCCATATATATTCCTATGTAAAACTTTTATTTCCCATTGTGGCCCCGCCCAATCCCCGGGGGTCATGATTTGTACAATTTAGAATCTACGCTACCCAAGGATGCTTTCACATAAGTTTCAGCTTTTCTGGCCCAATGGTTCTTGAGAAGAAGATTTTAAAAGATTTTTCCTATATATTTCTATGTAAAACTTTGATTCCCCATTGTGGCCCCGCCCAATCCCCGGGGGTCATGATTTGTGCAATTTAGAATCTACGCTACCCAAGAATGCTTTCAAATAAGTTTCAGCTTTTCTGGTCCAGTGGTTATTTAGAAGATTTTCAAAGATTTTACCAATATATTTCTATGTAAAACTTCGATTCCCCATTGTGGCCCCGCCCAATCCCGGGGGGTCATGATTCGAACAATTTAGAATCTACACTACCCCAGGATGTTTCAGCATAAGTTTCAGCTTTTCTGGCCCGGTGGTTCTTCAGAAGAAGATTTTTAAAGATTTTCCCATATATTTCTATGTAAAACTTTGATTCCCCATTATGGCCCCGCCCAATCCCCGGAGGTCATGATTTGAACAATTAAGAATCTACACTACCCCACAATGCTTCCACATCATTTTCAGCTTTTCTGGCCCAGTGGTTCTTAAGAAGAAGATTTTCATAGATTTTTCCTATATATTTCTATGTAAAACTTTGATTCCCCATTGTGGCCCCGCCCAATCCCCGGGGGTCATAATTTGAAAAATTTAGAATCTACACTACCCCAGGATGCTTCCACATAAGTTTCAGCTTTTCTGGCCCAATGGTTCTTGAGAAGAAGATCTTTAAAGATTTTTCCTATATATTTCTATGTAAAACTTTGATTCCCCATTGTGGCCCCGCCCAATCCCCGGGGGTCATGATTTGAACAATTTAGAATCTACACTACCCCAGAATGCTTCCACATAAGTTTCAGCTTTTCTGGCCCAGTGGTTCTTGAGAACAAGAATTTTAAAGATTTTTCCTATATATTTCTATGTAAAACTTTGATTCCCCATTGTGGCCCCACCCAATTCCCAGGGGTCATGATTTGAACAATTTAGAATCTACACTACCCCAGGATGCTTCTACATAAGTTTCAGCTTTTCTGGCCCAGTGGTTCTTGAGAAGAAGATTTTTTAATGACCCCACCCTATTTTTGTCTTTTCTTGATTATCTCCCCTTGCAAAGGAATTTGGCCCTTCATTTTAACAATTTATATTTCCCTTTACCCAAGCATGCTTTGTACCAAGTTTTGTCAAAATTGGCCCAGTAGTTCTGGAGAAGAAGTCGAAAATGTGAAAAGTTTACGGACGGACGGACGGACGGACGGATGGACGGACGGACGGACGACGGACAATGTGATCAGAAAAGGTCACTTGAGCCTTCGGCTCAGGTGAGCTAAAAACTGTAGTAAGCAATTCTCAATTCTAACTAGTTAAGACTTCACCCTAATAATGTTGCAAAATATACATTAACTAGAGCCGAGCTCGTTGCAAAGCAACGAGTAGGTCTTCCGTCCTGTTTGACCGGAAGTAACTTTCATTTAAAACAAAAGAGTAATGAAGTCGAAAATGGGTTAATCCTCCAAATCTATGTTAAGTATAGCAAAATTAAGCATACTTTGGTACTTCCGGTTTGACCGGAAGTGACGACGACGGACGGAAAATTAATATTTAAGCTTCTAGTGAGACATGTTACCCAAAAACCTGTCAAAAACGGCAAAAATATGCATTTTCTGACAACTTCCGGTTCAACCGGAAGTGACGTTGCCGGACGCATTTTGACGACTTCATTAGATAAAGCTTGATATTTTGAACAACTTTGCTTCTTTGATGCATAACAAATTCTCAATACTTTTTGAGATATCTGGAAAAAACTTTTGGCCCCTCTAGGTCCCTTAATTTAGGGGTCAGCCCTTTTTTCGACATATCATTTGAAAGATCTTCTAATTCTGCACAAATTATGTTCTATATATTTTAACAAAATATTTTTAGTTTAGAAGATAAAAAGAAAAATATGAGTAATTTTTGGTTCTTTTAAGCGTTCTAATTTTTGACCCCTATATAGCGCCATTTTGAATACAGAAATCGAAAAACAAAAACCGATGTGCACAACTTCAATCCTTCTCTTATCTAAAATCAGTAGAATTTCTGCTCCAGCTTTAGCCGTCTCTGAGCCTTTGTCTGGAAACGAAAGCCTATAAATTTTCCTTTAAAGGGAAATAACTCAAAACCGGAAGTGGCTTTTTGAAATTTTAGACATTATTCTGATAAAGTTTATTAACGTCTATAACTTCTGAAAATTTGAGCGAAATCCGTTGAGAAATGAGCGAGATATGAGGCCTCAAAGTTGCGGTCTAGGAAGCAGAAGAAAAAAAAAGAATAACTAGATACGATCTCGTTGCGAGCAACGAGTGGGTCTTCCGTCCAATTTGAGATAAGATTTTGATTGAGATTTTCATTCTAAAATAATGATAAAGATTGTGGAGAAGAACGATCATGCCTCCATAATCTGTAAACAGACATTGAACATTAAGATTAAAAAATTCGACTTTTGGCCCCCCACGGCCCCTTATATTAGGGATCAGCCCCTTTTTCTTCATACCATCTTAAAGTTCTCAGGATTTGGAACACTTTTCGTTCAACAACTATTCAGAGATTCTCTTTCGTTTTCGAGTTATTTGTAAGAGAAATATTTAGGGGCCAACCCTTCAACTCCTTAATGGGGACGTTTAGCAAAAAATAAAAGGTTGCATAATGTTCAGAACATTATTTTGAACATTTTTTGTTCAGTATTACTTATCAAGATATTTCCGACTTTTGAGATATAAAGCGTCAAAGATTTAGCGTTTTGGCCCCTTCTGGCCCCTAATTATGTAACATACGACATTCTAAACATAATATATAGTTTTAGATTGTTGAGATAAACATCTTTGCTTCAGTAATGTATAACAATATATAAACTGCTATTGAGTTATTGATTGAAGACTTTTGGCCCTTCTCAGCCCCCAATTTGAGTGCCCAGCCCCTTTTTCTTGATCTCATTTTAAAGCTCTTAAGATTTTGAACACTTTTTGTTCAACAACTATTCAGAGATTCTTTTGTGTTTTCGAGTTATTTGTAAGAGAAATATTTAGGGGCCAACCCTTCAACTCCTTAATGGGGACGTTTAGCGAAAAATGAAAGGTTGCATAATGTTCAGAACATTATTTTGAACATCTTTTGTTCAGTATCACTTATCAAGATATTTCCGACTTTTGAGATATAAAGCGTCAAAGATTTAGCGTTTTGGCCCCTTCTGGCCCCTAATTATGTAACATACGACATTCAAAACATAATATATAGTTTTAGATTGTTGAGATAAACATTTTTGCTTCAGTAATGTATAACAATATATAAACTGCTAAAGAGTTATCGATTAAAGACTTTTGGCCCTTCTCAGCCCCTAATTTGAGTGCCCAGCCCCTTTTTCTTGATCTCATTTTAAAGCTCTTAACATTTTGAACACTTTTTGTTCAACAACTATTCAGAGATTCTTTTGCGTTTTTGAGTTATTTGTAAGAGAAATATTTAGGGGCCAACCCTTCAACTCCTTAATGGGGACGTTTAGCGAAAAATGAAAGGTTGCATAATGTTCAGAACATTATTTTGAACATTTTTTGTGCAGTATTACTTATCAAGATATTTCCGACTTTTGAGATATAAAGCGTCAAAGATTTAGCGTTTAGGCCCCTTCTGGCCCCTAATTATGTAACATACGACATTCCAAAACATAATATATAGTTTTAGATTGTTGAGATAAACATTCTTGCTTCAGTAATGTATATCAAAATATTAACTGCTAAAGAGTTATCGATTAAAGATTTTTGGCACCTCTCGGTCCCTAATTTGAGTGCCCAGCCCCTTTTTCTTGATCTCATTTTAAAGCTCTTAACATTTTGAACACTTTTTGTTCAACAACTATTCAGAGATTCTTTTGCGTTTTTGAGTTATTTGTAAGAGAAATATTTAGGGGCCAACCCTTCAACTCCTTAATGGGGACGTTTAGCAAAAAATAAAAGGTTGCATAATGTTCAGAACATTATTTTGAACATTTTTTGTGCAGTATTACTTATCAAGATATTTCCAACTTTTGAGATATAAAGAGTCAAAGATTTAGCGTTTTGGCCCCTTATGGCCCCTAATTATGTAACATACGACATTCTAAAC